TATTATATAATATATTATATATTATATAATAAAATATATATAAAATACACTATATTATATATTATATAAAACATATATTTATATATTTTATATTTATGTAATATAAGATATTTTCATATATATATATATATTAAAAATAAATATAAAATACAGAATATCATATATTATAGTATGTCATAAATATTATATATTTATATTTAAATTATTATCAATGTAAATATAAATATAAGATATTTACCATATATCCCAGGAGTTATCAAACACAGAAACTATGAACATCTTAACTTCCCAGGGAAGTTATCAAACACAGAAACCATGAACTTCTTAAGTAACTTCTAAGTTACAGTTCTTCAGGAGCTTCCAACTTACAATTCGTGAACTTGCTTCCGGTTATCAAACAAGCCCTAAAATTCATGGTCTTCCTTAGGGTGCATATGGACCTAGAGTTATCAAACACAGAAACTGTGAACATCTTAACTTCCCAGGGAGGTTATCAAACACAGAAACCATGAACTTCTTAAGTAACTTCTAAGTTACAGTTCTTCAAGAACTTCCAACTTACAGTTCATGAACTTGCTTCCGGTTATCAAACAAGCCCTAAAATTCATGGTCTTCCTTAGGGTGCATATGGACCTAGAGCACCATTCTCCAAGTGGTGCCTTTTTATCAACTTGACGCAGTATATAATAGAATTCTTTCAGCAATTTCCTGTGTCATAAGACTCCAATCGGACATATAGTAATCTGGTGCCAGAAGGCAGTACAATTTCTTTCACGGAGTTTTGAAATAGTCAACCACCAGAATGGTGGACAGAACACAGTCATACACATTTTGAACCCATACTCCTTAGGTTTCTTCTCTCATCATTCCGATCTTCTCTATTCCTCCATTACGTATTCCTAGTGAGGAAATCCAGGGAGAAATTCTTATTTATAAGGCTATGTTCCATTTCAAAGTCAAACAAAAAGAAGTGTGCTTGCCACCTGGAAAATATTTGGGTTGTCGCGAAATCTATGGCATCCTTCCCCAATATCCCCATAGAGGCTTGCAGTCAGAACTGAGTGTAAGCTTAACAATAAATAACAATTTCTTCTTCAACCAAGGGCAGTGTCATAGGTATCTTAGGAAACATCTTTCTTTGGCATCTACCATGTGATATGCGCCAATTAGACAATTCATGGCTATAGGTTTATTCTCTCGTGCCCTTGAGCTCAGAAGACAACTCTTCCTCAAGCATTGGCATCACATGGTAATCATGGTTGGCTGGTAACATGTGTAACGAAAATAAACCCCCAAGGGAAAATTGGTATACCATTGATCATTAGTTAAAATAAAAAATAAAAAGAAGTTAGTATTCAGTTGGTATTAGTAAACAAAAATGTTTTTTGGTCTGAAGAAACAAAGTAAAAAGGAGTCAAATAGATAATGTACCAGAAAAATGTTGTCTGAAAAGAACTGGAAGAGTCTTTGTCCCACAAAGATGTAGGTTAAAAGGACCGTTATTGTGCACTTTTCTGTGCTTTTTAGTCAAAAAAGAGGGCAGGTATTAAATTTCAAGCCAAACAATAAAATTCCAGTTTAATGTAAGTAATCAAAAGCTAAACGAATTCAAAATTCCATTCCACCAATGTATTGCCAATTAAACAGATATATAGCTAAATATAGTGGTAACAACTAGGAATTTATATTCAGAGTTTTACATTTCCACTCCATATTCGATGACAAGCTGTCTTCTCTTTACTTAAGCTCATTTAGCACTGCATGCAGGCATATTGATAGCTGAACAAAAAATAATCACACACTTTTACCATAGTGTCAGGTTTCAGCGTAAATTTGGATTCACCCTTTGCAGAACCCAAATTTGTTGATATCGGAAATTAAATGTTGGTCACTGCACCACCTTCAAACTGTAATATTATCTGAATTTGATCCTGAGTCTCGAAATATAATTTTCTACACTCGTCCAACATAAGACAATTTCAGGTAGTCCTCTGGAAATTTAGATAAATAAGCAGCTGAAATTCTGTCAAAATTTGTCTTTGTTTTGAAACCTTCCCATAAAAAACAACTTATTTGGTTCGTATCACATTCAAATGGCAATCGAAAACACTTTAATCAACAAAACCCAAATTTTAAGAAACCAACCCAGAAAAAAGCATCAGATAAACAGTCATGGACAAATCAGAAATCAAAATCTTTATATACAAATTATACAGCATTTCTTGCCCATTTACCTCCCCAATTCTCTACAGACAATATCTACCCAAAAAAAAATATCTCAACAGACAATAAATAGTAAATGCAGTAAAACGGAATTTACTACCAATCGCCAAGCAAACTTAAGCAATCCTAAAAGATGAGAGAGAAAGACAGAGAGAGAGAGAGGAGGTGGTGGCTTCAAAAGCTTACAGCGATGACAGGGTCTTGATGACTGACATCTGAGAAGAACAAATGCATCCACTGAGCAAAGGAAGAGGGGCTTGGCTCACTCCCTTTATAGCAAAGAGGATTCACGTCTAAAAAGAAGGCCCTTTTCCTCCTTTTGCTATTATTTCCCTTTCTCTCACTCTCTTCATCAGATTTCAGAGCTCCGCCATCTTGGGTGGCTCTGATGAAGCCCCCTGACCAATGTTTTCTCCATGGACAATGCGAAATGCTTTGATTGTGAAATCCTGAGCATGAACCCAATTTAAAACTCTTCTTCTTCAATTGGGTCGCAAGCCTTTCTGTAAAAAAGCAAGAGGGGAACACCAAATTCACCACCTCTCCCATTTTTCTCAATCAAAACATGAACTCACCATCAAGTTCCTGGATTTAACTCATGTAAGTGGACCCTTTGTTCCTGGATTTAACTCATGTAAGTCGACTCCGTATTTCTGTTAATTCATGGTTCTTTTTTCTCCTCAATGACGATATAGTTTTGTGCTCCTCGCCGGTACAATATAATCCTTGTGGTCGTCAAATCATTCACGACCGTCTTAATAATAGCTTGGACGGTGGGGATTGTATACAAACACCATTTACTTTTACTGTGGGGTGACGATTACTTATTACATCCGATGTGAAATCCAAGAGGGTCATCAAATTGGAAAACAATTTTTTTGAACTTGATGTGAAATCTAATAGCATCATTAAATTGGAATAAATTTCTTTTGAATTTTGAGCTTGATCAATAAAATAGATGTGAAATCTAATAGCATCATTAAATTGGAATAAATTTCTTTTGAATTTTGAGCTTGATCAATAAAATAGATGCAGCCACCTTTGTATAAAAAATAAAGTCTCATTATGTGCTTTCCCTTGAGGCAAATGGGTCCATCCTACAAATTGAAGCAGTAAACTGCATGGCTTTCTTTCCTCCACATCACCATCTAACCAATTGGTTATACGGCTCTAAGTCTATTAGGTCATGGTATTGTTATGAACATTGGATCATATTATTTTAAAAAAAAATATCAAAATAAAAAATATCCATAGGAGATAAAATACTTAGGGCTCGTTTGGCTCCATGGGTTAACAAACACAGGTTTCGAATCAAAACTTTGAAAAGGGGTTTGGATCGTGGTGATAGCACCCCACACCTTAATTATCACATTGTGATTTTCATTTTTACTGCTAACGCCACCCCACTGATACCTTCACAATGCTAACTCCTAATCTATTTGAAAAATTGATTAGGGGCTTGACTTTCCCACTAAATTACCCAAAACAAACCAAAAAAAAAACAAATAAAAGAAAAAAAAACTTTGTTATGTCAAACATTGATTATATTAAAACCTTGGTTACTCAAATAAGACACGTTTGGTGGCTTTGAATGGTACCTAGATTATACAAATCTCATGTTTGGATTACTTTTTGTATAACCTCGTTTGTTATACACAGAGAGAATATATCAAACTTCAAAATTTGAGATAGTTTCTCTCTCTAAAAAAATTAAATTTGATAGTTTCTTTTTCAAAAAATTTTGAGACAAGTTCTCTATCTAAAAATTTGAAAGTTCAAATAGTTGACAATTTGTCTTTCTAAAAATTTTGATATAATTTCTATGTCCAAAAAATTTTAAGTAGTTTCTCTCTCTAAAATTTGATATAGCTTCTCTCATTAAAATTTTAAGATACTTTCCCTCCCTAAACCTTAAAATTTGAGATGGTCTCTCTAAAACATTTGAGATAATTTCTCTCTAAAAAGTTTTAGGCAATTTCTTTCTCTAAAATTTGATATAGTTTAACTCCCTAAAATTTTAAGAACTTTCTCTCTCTAAAGCTTGAAATTTGATATCGTTTCTCTGGCTAAAATTTTTGAGATATTCTCTCTATAAAGTTTCAGGTTGTTTCTCTTTGTAAATTTTGATATAGTTTCTCTCTTTAAAACTTGAAATTTGATATAGTTTTTCTCTCTAAAAAATTTGAAATTGTTTTTCTCTAAAAAAAATTTAAGTAATTTCTCTCTCTAAAATTTGATATAGTTTCTCTATCTAAAATTTTAAGATAAATTTTAAGAACTTTCTCTCTCTAAAACTTAAAATTTGATATCGTTTCTCATTAAAAAAATTTAAATAGTTTCTCTCTCTAAAATTTGGTATATCTCTCTCTAAAATTTTAAGATACTTACTCTCTCTAAAACTTAAAATTTTTAGATAGTTTCTCTCTCTAAAAATTTTGAGATAGTTGCTCTCGCTAAATTTTTTTAGAGTTTATCTCTTGCTAAAATTTGATATAGTTTCTCTTTTAAAAATTTTAAAATACTTTATCTTTCTAAAACTTGAAATTTTGATATAGTTTCTCTCTCTACAAATTTTAGGTAGTTTCTCTATCTAAAATTTGATATAGTTTTACTCTCTAAAATTTAACGATATTTTCTCTCTAAAACTAGAAATTTGATATAGTTTCTCTCTAAAAAAATTCAGCCAATTTCTCTCAGTAAAAATTGATAATGATAGTTTCTATCTCTAAATTTTAAGATACTTTCTCTCTCTAAAATCTGAAATTTTGAGATAGTTTCTCTCTCTAAAAATTTTAAGATAGTTTCTCTCTTTAAAAATTTTTGGGTAGTTTCTCTTTCTAAAATTTGATATAGTTTCACTCTCTAAAGTTTTATGATACTTTATCTCTAAAATTTTAATTTGAGATAGTTTTTCTCTAAAACTTTTCAGGCAATTTCTCTCTCTAAATTTTGATAAGGATAGTTTCTCTCTCTAAAATTTTAATATAGTTCTCTCTTTAAAAAAATTCAGATAATGTCTCTCTCTAAAATTTGATAATGTTTCTCTCTAAAAAAATTTAAGATACTTTCTATCTCTAAACCTTTAAATTTGAGACAGTTTCTCTCTCTCGACAGTTCTTGAGATAGTTTCTCTCTCTAAAAAGTTTCAAGTTGTTTCTCACTCTAAAATTTGATATAGTTTTTCTCTTTAAAATTTAATATAATTTTTCTCTCTAAAATTTTAATATACTTTATCAATTCAAAAATTAAAATTTGATATAATTTCTCTCTCTAAAAATTTTGAAAAGATTTATGTCTAAACATTTTCAGATAATTTCTCTCTCTAAGATTTTATATAGTTTCTCTCTCTACAAATTTAAGATACTTTCTCTCTCAAAAACTTGAAATTTTATAAAGTTTCTCTCTCTAAAAATTTGAGATAGTTTCTTTTTCTAAAAAATTTAGTAGTTTTTTTCTCTAAAATTTGATGTAGTTTCTCCTTCTAAAACTTTTAAATACATTCTTTCTCTATAGCTTAAAATTTGAGATAATTTCTCTTTAATTTATGGGGATGTTTTTGTCATAATTGATTGCATTTAATAAAGTGGGCATCTCTGATGTGTGAAAATAGTATTATGATCAAGTGTATTATATATATTGTGCTCCTTCTTTCATGCTTACATAAAATCATGTTTTACATCATTTTATTTTTTTTCTTAATTTTGTGTACCCATAGTTTGGCCCTCTTTCTTGCTTACAAAAAACATGATTATGTTGGATGAGTGTAGCCATTAAAGGCCTTACGAGTGCTTGTAATTAAAATATTTAATACAATGGAACTTGAATTCAATGAGAGTATGGCTCTATGTTGATCATCCTAAGTAAATGGTGTTTGCTGATATCAGACTGTGATTGATATGCTAGACCAGTCGGTTGGAAAAAAACTCATGTTACTTAGAAATATAAATTAAACCAATAAGGGTTGTAATGAGTCTTCCCTTGATGACGTTAAAGTATGCTCGGATGAATGAACCAAGTTACTGTATGACCCTTGTGTGTGATGGTGACCTTCAGAGACAGGAGCCAAAGCCTCATCCATACACCATCACACGGCATGCACATATGATAGCCGTATCAAGAAAGCAAACCACCTTTCAATGTGAAGTATGTGCATTTTACGAAAGATTACCTATATGCACCATAGAGTTGTGGTTGTATCAGGTCTAGGTGACATTGGTTTGTCTTCAGGGGAGAACCTGAAATCTACATACTGTGATTATGTCCCCTTGACAATTGATTGACTTTAACGGTCCAATCATAAGCCCCTGCAATACACTGTTGGTCATGGGAACCGTTGGATCAGTTTGAGAAGGTAAGTGTGGATTGTGGTCCACAGTAGAATGTGGGGTGCTCTAGAGTTTTAATTATTCATGGACCATTTGGATTCAATTCTCATCAAAAATATTTAATTATAATTGTTTTGATATTATTTGATTTTTAAAAATATTATTTACTTTTTTAAAAAATCTTTGGGTATTTTGTTTATGTAATTTAGATTTATAAAACTAGAGATATTGAATTTTCATTGTTTAATTGGAATTAATGCTTCATGAAAATATTTATTTAATTTTAGAAATAATTTATTCATGCATGAGGACCCATTAATACACATGTTATGGAGGGGCCCATGAGAGCCACCTAGGGTGGCACACCCCACCCCTTTCTATATTGTATGTTCAAGCAAAGATGGCTTGAGGCTTAAAATATTATGTTTTGGAAAGATTTGATTTTATGGAGATTTTGAAACCAAACAAAGAAAGTATGAAGAGGCTTGTGTTTAATAATAGAAAGCACAATATTATTATTGATATTTTTATATTTAATTTAATTGATGGAAAATTGGTTTAGAAAATGAGGGATAAAAGTTCTAGTATTTTTCATAAGATTTTGATGACTAATCTATAGAATAGATGGCTCACATTTCTCACCCCACAAATCACAATTAATTGTGTAAATTCAATCGCACTAAAGTGACCAATCGTTTGGAAACCCTAAGAGGTCCTAATCTCATTGAAGCACCATATAAAGGGGTGTTCCCTACATATTTAAACACACATGATCTCTCTCTTCCCTCTCTCATATCCCTCATAGAGGGGCACACCCCACATATAGTAGGAAATCTCCCTCTTTCGTCTCCCACAAGGGGCATGCCCCACTTGGTAGAAGCTCTCTTTCATCCAAAGGGGCACACCCCACTTAGCCTTAATTAAGATATCTCTTCTCTCATGCCTTTTGGGTTAAAGCCTTTTGGGTTAAAGGTTTAGTATTAAGAATCTTATCTCTCTCATTTAGGTTATCAATGGGTAAACCTTAGGTTTGAGATATAAGCATTATAAAGAGTTCTTGTTTTATTGGAGGTTTGACTCATATGCTTTCTCATCTTGGAGATTGAGGTTGACCATTAATCTCACGACATTGGCAGTGGTGACTCGGTGTGGGATGCATTAAACCCAGTTAATGTAATCTCTGGCATCCTATTTATTGTTTCTTATCAAATTTAATGTTTTTGTTTTTTATTATTCCCAAGCTTAGTATTGTGGTTTTTTATTGATTTATAAAAGAGTGGTTTTA